ATTGTGAACAGTTTGATTAAAAGGTGTATTTTCATGATTTCACATGTGCGATGTCCCCTCAGGATGTAGGCAATGTTTCTCCACAACTTTATGTCCGTTGCAGATCAAAATAAATTCTGTCTTTTCTTTATTTTTAAACCCTGTTCCACCAGCCATTCACTGAAGCTCATTAAGTAGGTTATGCATTGTTTTCCTCTCTCCTTCTTATCCTCAATATGTCCCATGAGTATCAGATTTTCCAAGCCCTTCTTCCTCATTATATTCCCCAGAAATTCCAATTATTGCCTCCTGATGTTAAGTGTAAGTTTTCTTTTTGTTTTGATTTTCTCTAAAACCTCTTCATTATTTACATGTTTGGTCCATTGTATCCTCAGCATCCTTCTGTAGAACCACATTTCTGTTGCTTCAAGTCTCTTCATCTTTAAGGAGATTGTTCAGCAAATCACTACAGTAGGACAGACATCATATAACGGTCCACAAACTCATTTTTTTGTTTATAATGAAGTTTTTCTATCTCTTAATAGTCTGCTTAGCTTTTGGAAAACATCTTTGACTATTCCAATGAGTCTTCAGATTTCATTGTCGCATTTACCGTCCTCTTTTAGAACACTTCCTAGATATTTAAATTTTTTGTGCTTGGTTGATTTTGGTACCTCCAATTTGTAATTTCCATTTTCGGTTCACCTTTTTGCTAATAACCATTCACTTTCCAAAATTGTAGTTTATAATTATAGTCTAGATATTTAGACTATAATTAGACGAACACAAGGAGGATATAAGTTAAATTGATGCCTTCTTTTCTCCCCTATACATTGCTACCATGTTGCTCAAATTTCATTGAAATTTTCACTTTCCAAAATTATAGCTTATAATCAGTTTAGATCACTGATTCTCAATGTGAGGTGCATGCTCCACCAGTGGGGCATGCATAGGATGTGCACCCTTCGGATTACTATAACAACAGAATAAGGGGACAATTCAGGAAGGAGTTATTAACAGTGAATAATTTTCTAGTGAGCCTGAGTGAGAGTGTTAATATTAATGTGTGTTAATACATATGATGCATATACAGTATGCATACATAAAAATATTTTGTGTGTATGTACGTACATGTGTAATTGGCATACAGGGTATTTCCCGTCTCCCCACACTCACATGTCTCAGCCAGCAAAGGAAAAGGCGTGATAGATGTCACTGGAAGAGCCCATGTTTTGTCAGCCAATCAGTGCATGTTAGCATTCAGTTTGCTTGCTTGACATGAATTGCAGTAAAATTTTGACTATATAAGAATTAAATATTACAGGGGGGCACCAGAATTTTTAGAAATGCCAAAGTGGGACATGGCTCAAAATCAGTTGGAAACTACTGGTTTAGATATATGGAAAGAAAAAAAAAAAAGGTGGCATTTTAAATTGAAACCAGTGGGTAAGTCGAAGTTTCATACTTAAGTCTATGAAGTTTTTAATTGATAATTATCAGATAAAACGTTAGCACTAAAATAAATATGACAAACAAGTTTACATCACAGAATTTTGAAATAAACTGTATATTTTGATACCCATCAGAAATAAAAAATTGCTAAATAAAATGAATCATAAACTGAAAGGTTAAAAGAAATTTAATCCATTCTGAGCCAATTTGCACAGAAATGTAATATAAATATTAGTAAGAGTCCAAATGTTTTATTTGTGATGAAATTTTCTTCCTTCATATATAAATTAAAAATAAAAATCAACAGATCAATATTTTAACAAATTTCTTTAACTTGCCAACAGGGACAGCTCAAGGTACTGGCAACTCGAGCAGTTGCCTGGAGTCCCACCATGATGCTGTATAATGTATTTGGGATCTTATAAAAACAAACTTGCAGTTATCTATGACTCAAGACAATTTAAATTCTTTGGCTATTTTGTCAATAGAAAATAATCTTGTAAAAAAGATAGGTATAGAAAGTGCCATGAAAAAAATTGCAGATTTAAAAGTTAGAAAAAAATGTTTTAGGTAAGATAATGAATGTGTTCTTTAGCTTGTATTAAGTTGTATATTGTAATAAACTTGTTATTCTACATTTTCAGTTTTTCTCCTGAAAACTGTCATCATCTTGGTTGCTGTATCTCCAAGCATTCATTCATGGTTGGTAACCTTCCTGAAATGTTCAAATGAACGCTTATTCCATCGTTAGTAATTGAGTGTTCTCAGTATCCAATGCCAAAATTGTTTTATATATATGAAGAAAATATCTGGAAAAACAAAACAAAAATCCTTAAAAAGGATTTTTGTTTTGTTTTTCCAGATATTTTCTTCATTCTGTCGGATTTATATCCATTTATATTTGCTTATCATATATATATATATATATATATATATATATAGGCTCAGTTAATCCTGATGCCCCTTGTTCCTACAACTGAACCAAATATATGACATTGTAACCAGATCAAATGGGCTTTGTGTCCAAACATTTAGCATTGATGGGTCACTGAGCTAATGGAAATTATACATCAAACACTGAAAACATGCCATAACCCAGAGTCATTGTTTGATTGATGGAGGCTATGTTGGAAACAGCTTGTGTGTATGTGTGTATATATATATATATATATATATATATATATAAATGTTACATGTTGAGTGCTGGTGTTAATATAATAGTGCTTGATGTATATAATTAGCTATAATTTATATTAATAAATATCCATTATTTTTCTTCACCAATAGCACAACTGAGTTTCATGCCCAATGCAATCATCAGCTACTGATAGGTTTCAATCAGCATCTGATGATTGTATTGTGCACACAGAGAGAGAGAGACACACACAATGGGAAAAATTCAAAAAGACAAATATTGAACCCCTTTGTTTTGTTAACTCATTAACACCTTTAATTTTTTTAATTTACAATACCATTGCAGTATATATATATATATATATATATATATATATATATATAATGAAATGGACTAAATCCGACAATTATTTTAATATATTGTTTATATGTTATTTTTATAAATACAAATATTTAAGTAAATGCTCTTTTAATAATAAACAGTATTAACATCATTTACCAGCCTGAATGTCCAAGAAATTTCATAGAAAATATGTGACCTCTGACAGGAATCGAACCTGTATCCTACACAGAATCATCATATAACCTGATGTGTTATACCATTTAGCTACAGAGGAAGCAATAATTCAACCTTGCTTACCAGACACTTCCTCTGTAGCTCAATGGTATAGCACATCAGGCTATATGGCAGTTCCATGTAGAATATAGGTTTGATTCCTGTTGGAGGATACATATTTTCTATGAAATTTCTGACATTCAGACCAGTAAATGTTGTTAATACAGTTTATTATTAAAAGAGCATTTACTTAAATATTTGCATCTATAAAAATAACATATAAACAATTAACGTTTGGTTAGTTTGTTCACTTTTTCTTTTTTTTCATTTTTGATTTAATTTTCTATTTTTCTGTTTTGTAATTTTGATAAATTTTTCCTCTTTTATTTCTTAAAGGGTTTTTTATTTACATTAATATTAAATAATTATTGTTAAATTATGCTGCCTATTCACTAAAAATGTCAATATATTGTTACATTGTATGAAAATTCTATTTCAAATAGACTGTATATATCTGGTGTTTGAATCTATACTTCACAATATCTGAAACTATTTTTAATTTGTTAACCGATTCTCAACATACATCCCCGGTCAAAATCTTAAGACTAGATACAAAAGGGTTAAAAAAAATAAAAAAATAAAAAAAAATAATATAAAATACTCTTACTTTAATCAAAATATATTTGCGAAACATTTACATTTAATTAAAAAATGTAGTTTATCAATAAACAAATGAACATTTTAAGCTTTTAATTGATTAATTTAAAGAAACATTGAAAAAAGGATTTTTTTGGTTGGTCATAAAAACCATGTGTGAAAAAAACAAATTACTGGACAAAAATTTTAGAACTAGTCAGTGTGCTCATAGCTTCAGGCCTGTAGACATCTATGTACCTCATTTCCAATATTAAATTTCAGATTTTAAAATGGCTAAGGGTAAAATTTTAACAAAGTTCGAGCAGGGCAGGATTGTTGAACTTCAAAGACGTGGTCTTTTACATCGAGCCATTGCAAATGAATTGGCCATAGCAGAACTGTCATTACTAACTTCATTAAAAATACATATACTTCTAAAAATCAAGTGTTCACCACAATAAAATCTCACCATCTCTAGACAGATGCATTAAGTGAGAAATTA